GTGCCCGCTCCCTCAGCACTGACCCTCCGACAGTGCCCGCTCCCTCAACACTGACCCTCCGACAGTGCCCGCTCCCTCAACACTGACCCTCCAGCAGTGTGCCTGGTCATGATCCTGAGTGACGTGTGGGGCATCTACCTGAATATTGGTGTGTCAGTCATGCCCAAGTGAGGTTAGATGGATGGGAGACCCTGCAGCCCGCGATGGGAAGGCTGACTTTCTGAAAGGACCATCAGGCTCTCTCTCTCCCCTGGAGTTGCTGCCATTGCACATGCGCGCTTGCCGGGAGGCGGAGCCGACATCGCGCATGCGCGCCCGGGCAGGACGGCTGAGGCGGCACGAGGTGGGCATCCGGCCACCGCCTCCCCATCTAACGGTCAGCCAGGCCCGAGTGACCTCCACAAATAGGGCTTTCATCGGAATCGCGCTTCAGATCCGGGATCGCTCGGGGTAAGGGAAGTGTGCGGCATGTCCCTGGGCGGATCAGGCCATGACCTCGATTTCTCCACCCCTTCCCCAATGCCCTAATTCTGAGGTGGCTAACTGTACAAACCTTGGCCCCGATCTGGTTGCCACACTGGCCCGCCTGAAGATGCACGATCTCTCGCATACCGAAAGCTCTGCCTAAACTACTCTAACCGGGAAAGCTGTTCGCTCAAATGAGCGGCCAACGCTTGCTGTATTGTTTATGTACTTTAGCGTCATCGCTACCTACTGCCTATTGGTCAATGCCCCGTGTCAATCAATGATCCCGCATTCCCATTGGTTTAGTTCTGCGGGGGCGTTGACTTGATTAGTTTTGAGTGGCTGTTGCCTAGTAACAGGTGCCCCCCCAAGTCAGTCATAATAACTGTTGTGATTTCACAAAGTCCTTTTCATCATCTCATAAAACAACTCAACTGCCTCAAGGTTCAAATTCTCAAAACAAAATAAAAATCATTAGTTTGCATTGTTTGGGAGCTGCCAAGGATCTGACGTGTGAATGTTGGAGAGTGAAATGTTCACTGATATCTCTCTGGTACTGACCACTGAACACAATTCTGATAGTTAGCAGTTAGGAAGCTACCATCCCTGATGAAACATAATATATTGAGCAAGGAGATTATGATGTCAGACCTACTCATTAACATGTGAATAATATTGTTTCTTTTTGTTAATGTGAAAGTTTATACGTGTTCACTAATTGCACTAAATTACATCAAGCATTTTAGCCTTCTCAGTTTTATCCTTTTTGTTTGCTTTCCAGACCTATCTGACACAGTCCTATTGCACCATATACAAATGTTGGTCAGTGTGTGCAGTCTTTTTCCATTGACAGTTCAGTTACTGAGGTGTACTATTTCAGTCCATGCTTAGTAAGTGACATTGAGTATCTGCATATGAGCAGGAATTTGCTTCCAATTCATACCCGGTCATATGAATTACTATCTAATCTACCCAGCAATATGTGACTACAATAAACAACATTGTAAAGTGGCAAAAAAACAGAAATTGCTGGAAAATCTCAGCAGGTCTGGCAGCGTCTGTGGACAGAAATCAGAGTTAATGTTTTGGGTCGGGTGACTCTTCCTCAGTGCTCAAAAGTGGCGACTGAACAACTACCAGGTGTTTGGAATTCATGCAACTCTTTTTTTTGAATGTTGTTAAAGGCCCAGGTCAAGTCCCACCTGCTCTAGAAGTGTTAACTCTGAATGGGTTGACTAAAAAATGGGTTAAATAAAAAGGAAATTTAAATGTTTTGAAGGCTCTTGTAATGCAGTGAGAGTGTTCCTACCCCTGGAACCAGGAGACCTGGGTTCAATCCCACCTGCTCCAGAAACAGATAATAAAATCGCTGAACAGGTTGATTTGAAAAACACTAAAATGGTGCTGTGACCCTTGCCAGGTATTGCATGTAATTTACTTGGAAACATGGGTGATTGAGTTGTGGTGGATAATGGGTGAAAAGTATCACAGGTGATTTAGTGATGGAAATAAAAACATGCAATTGCATGTAAAAGCACTTTTGGTTTGCTGTGAAAGTCCTTTTTACTTGTCAGGATTTTCTGTTTTTAAATTTCTCTTCTCCAGATTCTTTTCACTTCTTCACAGGAGGTACAACAATTGGTACACTAACTGAAAAATCTCTTAGTTACTGTTTAAAGGGCATAGCTTATAGCAACTGATGAGGGAGAATAAACTGGCTTCACACGTATTTCACATATTTATCTTCCTTTACCACCACTATCAATGCCTTTGACTTTTGCTCTCAACATTCTCACAATATGTTCCACTTGCTTCTCCTGGTGGTCTGCCTGCAGCATAAAAAACAGCATTTTCCAGCCCCTTTCAATTCCTGTGAAGTCATATGGATTCAAAACTTCAATTCTGTATCTCTCTGCAGATGCTGCCTGACCTGCTGTGATTGCCTATCATTTTCTGTTTTATTTTAGATTTCCAGCATCCACAGAATTTTACTTTTATTTACCTGTTCATGTGTTTTGGGCCTGAATGGGCCCAAAGTAGGAGATACAGAATTCATCCGTCTCCCCTCTTAATCCCACTCCTGTGACCAGGAAGACTGAAAGAATGTTGACACAGCCTGCATAGTTTCCACTCTTATTTCCCTTAGTATCCCTGGATGCAATTCATTTAGACTGCTGTTTTGAGTCCTTTGAGATTTTTAATGTCATCCCTGAACCTATTTTGTTCAACTTTATTGCTGCATTTGCAGCATCCTCTCCTGTAGTGAAGACAGATATAAAACTCAATACATCATTCAGTAGATCAGCCATGCTCTCTGCCTCAAAAATTCACCTCCTTTTTGGAAATCAGTAAGCCCAAATTTTCCTTAGACTACCTTCTTATTTATGTGTTCCCTTTCATTAACCACTAATCAATTTCATTTATTCTTTCCCTCTCATTCTCTTTTATATCTCTTCTGTTTCATGTATATTTCTGTATCACTGTGTACTGCACCTACCTTCTTGACAAATTTCCATAAGAACATAAGAAATAAAGGCAGGAGCAAAGTAGAGAATGATTCATCCCCCACTTCTTCATTTATTAAGATCCTCGCTCATCTTCAACTCCAGTTCTCCATCCTATGTCTTTTTCAATTTTTCATAATGTTCAAAAATCTCTCAATCAATCTCGGCATTGAATTCATGCAACTCAGTCGGAGAATTCCAAAGATTCACAAGCCCTTTTGCATGAAGAGATTTCTTCAAGTTAGTTCTAAATAGCCAGTACCTTACCTCAGAATATGTTCCTGAGATCTAGATTATTCAGACAGGGAAATCGTGGGAGTGCTCAGTGATCTCACTGTCAGAACAAAATCACAGCATTTTTACAGCACGGAACAAAGCCATTCAGCCCATCAAATCCATCCCAAACTCTTCAGCTAGTTGTTTCACTCCCTGGCTCTTTCCCCAGCGTCCAGCAAAGCATTATCTAATTGCCTTTTGAAAACTTAATTTAAACTTCCCTCCAGCACACTCGTAGTCAGCAGATTCTGGATCCTAACCAACTGTTGCATGAAAATGTTTCTCTGCATTTTGCTTAAATTGCTTATGGCAATCACCTGAAATCTGTATTCTTTAGTTCTGAACCCTTCCACCAATCAAAACTGCTTCTTTCAATCTGAACACCTCTATCAAATTTCTCAATTTGCTCTTCTCTAAGGAGAACAACCCCAGCTTCTATAATCTATCCACATGACTGAAACCAGCTTCATAAATCTTTTCTGCACACTTTACAAATCCTTCACAGCTCATGTGTAGTCCAGAATTGAACACAGCATTCCAGTTGAAAGCAATCCACTGTCTTGTAAAGATCCAACATAACAGCTGGCTGTACAGGACCAACTCTGGGAATAAATAATAATCACACTGTGGAGGGAAATACTTATTTTCATTTTTATTACCCAAATTTCCCAATGGACATCAAAAAAATCTCCATCCTCAAAGGCGAACAGCAAAAGTCTTTCCTGTAGGGTGGGGGAGTTCAAAACTAGAGGGCATAGGTTTAAGGTGAGAGGGAACAGATTTAAAAGGGACGTGAGAGGCAACATCTTCACACAGAGGGTGGTGCATGTATGGAATGAACTGCCAGAGGGAGTGGTAGATGCAGGTACATTTATAACGTTTAAGTCATTTGGACAAGTACATGAATAGGAAAGGTTTAGAGAGATGTGGGCCAAATGTAGGCAAATGGGACTAGTTTAATTTGGGAAATATGGTCGGCCTGGACAAGTTGAACTGAAGGGTCTGTTTCTGTGCTGTATGACTCCATGATTTTATGACAATTACAAACATAGCTGCAGTTTTATAAATGGAGCAAAGAATTATTAGGATGAAACTTAAAAGAAATGACACAATCCCGCGGCAAGAGGCAGATTGAATAGTATTCAGATTTTTAATTAGTTTTATTAAAACAGAAAATACTATTTAATTTGCGATTATTCACAGGGTTTCACATTTCAATTATAGTTAATATTGGTAATGCATGTCAGAACGCATCAAAGGCACATGGCAACAGCAGTTACAATAAAATCCTTGTCACATGATTTATTCACAAATTCTGTCAATTTATTTAGTTTAAGATCCCTGATGCTCTGTGTGCTTGCAATGCACAACAGATCCAATATTTAAAAAATCAGACACTTGAACAGAAATACAGTCAATCAACTAAGTAATCAGCTGAACAGTCTTTAAACCACTTACAGCTCACTTCATTGACTTTCTCTTCAATTCACACACATTATGCAACTAAACATCAGAAAAGATGCTAAACATTTCTGTAAAAATCCATTTTTGGTCTAGCACAAGAGTATGGGTTTAAAAGCATGTTTTTGGTATAATATCAGCTGTGATAGTAGACAAGAACAGAAAAGGAAGGAGCAGGTGAACAGGAATGTTGCATGGGAGAGGGGTGAATGGGAGACATGGCATACATGAACAGGAGAAAGCAATCTGCGGGAATAATTTAAAACTTAACCCTGTATATTTTGTATTCCAGTGGAGGCAGCATTAAATATCCTTCAGCCATTTCAAGATCTGTGGCACATAGTACGTGATGATGATATCAGCACCTATAAGCACAGCACACAGGTATGTTAACTTTATACTACAGTAAATACCGGACTTGATAAACCCATACCACGAGCCATCTACCTCAACATCCTCGTGTGCTGAAGATGCGTAGGAAATGATGGAAATATCATTGCAATTGATTCCACAAAAAAAAAATCAATCTGCTACAGAAAATCCCATCCAGACCAGTCCACGGCATAGATATCTCACATCTGGCTATCCAAAACTGGTCAGTTTTATACGCTGCCACGGCAGGAATATTCATTTTTATGAAATGTGTAAAATAACTTACTGGTTTGTCTGGCTAAGTGCTGCATTGACATAATGGTATGCTGGACTAGTCACTGGCTCAGCCTGCCCTTCCAACCCTTGGCCCCAGCCAACCTGTACATTGTCCCACCTAGAGGACATGTAAAATCATTCCAGGGAGCACTGGTCAACTTTTATATATGTAAACCAACCACTCCCTGGCTCCTGGACACCCAAAAGATATTTGTAAAGATTCTAAAACTCAGCACACAATGGAGCTAAGTAACCCAGTGGCAAATGCCAACTTCAAGACATTGAAGAGCAAAAAGAGTAAGTCAGAGTTTCTCTCCTGTCCACTTAACCCTGCTGGATTGTTTATGTCAGTGTGCATGCATACTGGGTACGGGTCCTGCCTTAGTGGTGATGTGTAGACAGTTGAATGGCTGTTTACAATGTGTTGGCCAGATTCACATCTGGAGAAGGGTAATGTGGTCAAGGTGCCCATTGTCACAGCTAATCAACTATCACCCAGCAACTGTTCTTTAGGAGTGAGGAGAGGAAATAGTCGGGTTCAGCAGCGTATCAGCAGTACCCAATAGAAGCTTGCTGTTTGGCAGAAAACCACACTGCCTTTGTTCTATTTGTTAGGGCACAGATATTATACCCTTCTCTAGCAGATTCCCTAGGTGGACATCTTAAGGGGAACTGCTCCAGTATCATCGATTTAAAAACAAGCTGAAGCACATCCATTTAAAGAGCCATAGAGCAATGGCTAATAGAAAACAAAAGCAAACATCAATAAAATTACAGTTGGAAGAAATACTGGTTATGTAGTGAAGACTGTTACCTGCCCTCCTGAAGCTGGTCAGAGCCTCCATGACAGCTGTCCTAAGGTCAAATGCTCCAGCCTGTGACCCATGCCACAGCATCGCAAACTCCCCTGAGACGTGGTAAATTGCTAGCGGATATGAGGGGTGCTGAAAGGAATGAGGGAGATAACTAACTGCTAAAGCCAAGCATTCAGTAACTGCAACGAGTTACTAAATTCACCGAAATCATCATGATGTTCTGATGCACTGTGCAACCCATATCCCAGAAAGCATACCCACGTGTCTGTGGTGAGCCTTACTTCACAGTCAGTGGCAGAAATCACACGACACCAGGTTATAGTCCAACAGATTTATTTGAAAACACAAGCTTTCAGAGTGTAGCCCCTTCAGCAGGTAAAGTGAGAAAGAAGCACAGAACGCTGAATTCATAAGTAAAAAGTGACATCATTTGAGCCAGACTTGAAGGAAGCCAATTAGAATGTAGCTCAGAGTGTCACTTTATCATGACAAGAATACTCCTGACTTAGTGAGGTGACAAAACAAGTCACTCAGAAACAAATTAAAATATGCTGTAAGAGTCTGCCTGCTTAATAAAAACCATAGCAACAGGACTCAACGTTCCAAGGCCAGGAGAACAGCAGCTCTGAAGATAAACTTTTCCTCTGACTAACATGCATGCTCTGTTCATTGCCCTATGCCACAAACCTTCCTAAAATTAAAGTTAAAATATCTTTTCCCAGCAACTTTGAAGGTTTTGAATATGTTAACAACATCAGTGAGGCATGTGATGAGAAGAGTTCCTTGACCTGATAGTTCTAGACCATATACAGCTTTTGGTTTATGTAGAGCAGACAGAATTCTGAGCCTGAGTGCTGACCGACTCAGGCATTGAAAAGATCACTTGGACAAGGTATAATTAATTGTGGTGCCGGTGAAACCAACATGTTGTGTCAAGTTCCTCAACGTTGCTGGGATGGGCCGACAGGCTCCTTCTGTCATTCCATGAATCGGTATTATTGAGAACACAGAATAAGTTATTGAAGAAAAAAACTTTTGCAGCTCATCCCACTGTCAACCAAGGGGTCCAAAACACTTGAAACCTATTAGACCATAAGGTCTGGGAGCAAAAATAGATCATTTGGCCTCCTGAGTCTGCTCCACAATTCAATTAGATCATGGTTGATCTGATAATCCTCAACTCTACTTTCCTGCCTTATCCCCATAATCCTTAATTACTTTGCTGTTAAAAATCTATCTCTACCTTAAATATACTTAATACCCAACCTCTATAGCCCTTTGTGGTAAAGAATTCCAGATTCGCTACCCTCAGAGAAAAGATTCCTCCTCATCTCTGTCTTAAATGGATGAACATCTCACTCTGAGATTATGCACTCTGTTACAAGGGGAAACAACCTCTCTGCATCTATCCTGTGTTGTCTTTTCAGGAATTGTATATGTTTCAGTAAGGTTTCTTCTTGTTCTTCTAAACTGCAAATGTATAGAAGCTCAACCCACTCAAACTCTCCTCAACCAGTCACCCTGATGCAGCTAATGGATTAGGAATGTATATAAACTTACTTTGTTTTTCACCTCTCGGACGATGTCCAGGTACGGCATTCCTGGTTTGACCATCAGCATATCTGCTCCCTCACGCACATCACGGTCCTGCACCAAGCAAGCAATCAGTTAATTCTAGTCATGCACTGATATACAGATAGACTCACATCTCAATTGTGCACAATTCTAATAACAAGATAAATCCCAGGATAATTGTCCACATTCTCAATAACCAGAAAGAGTCAATAGTTGCTGCCTGTATTCCCAAAAACCAAAGAGAGCCGGGAATCACTATCTGCATTCTCAGGAATCAGACAGCTGTGGATCACTGCCCACATTCCCAATAACCAGAGCCAGCTGTGGATCACTGTCCATATACCCAGTAACTGAAGAGAGCTGTGGAACACTGCCCACTTACCCAAAATCCTGGAGAGATTACAACCCATATTCCCAAAAAAACAGAGATAGTAATCCCAGTTTTGGCAGGATATCTCTTTGCCAATTGACGGTGTCCTTAAAGACTATGAAGGGCTTTAGCAATTACTAACTCATTTCAGGGGGCATTACGATTAACTTAGAACAGCTGGTCTCAGTCATGAGCAAATTGGCTACTTCCGTGCATATTCTATTCTTCAGATTTAATGCATTCAACTGCACAATCTGCCATGGTGAGATTTCAACACACAAAGCTCAGGCTGGCAGTCTGAAATCACAACTACTAAACCTGCAAAATTGTATATGATGTATATTACCTAGCAAAAGTACAAAAAGCATGACTATAATCGCACAATAACCTTCACAACCACACAACCTGCACCCTAAAACTCTCTCCACCTAACATAAATTTTAGAATTTTACAGCACAAAAGAAGCCCTTTGTGTCTGTGTCAATCAACAAGCAGCTATCTGCTCTAGTCCCATTTTCCAGCACTTGGCCTATAGCCTTCTATGCTATGGCACTTCAAGTGATCAGCAGAATACTTATTAAATGTTGTGACAGTTCCAGCCTTGAATACCCTTTCAGGCAATGAATTTCAGATATCCACCACCCACCACTCTCTGGGTGAAAGAATTCTTCCTTAATTCCTGCCTTTGATCTTACATCAATGGCCCCGGTTATTGACGCCTCTACTAAGGAGAAATGTTTCTTCTTATCTACCCTATCTATGCCCCTCAGAACTTTGTACATCTCAATCAGGTCCCCCCCTTGGCCTTCTCTGCTGCAACGAACACAACCCCAGCCTGTCTTCATTGCTGAATTGCTCCAGCCCAGGCAACGTCCTGGTGAACCTCCTCTGTACCCTCTCTAGTGCAATCACATCCTTTCTATAGTGTGGCGATCAGAACTGCATACAGTACTCCGGCTCTGATCTAACTAACATGACATATAGCTGCATCATTATCTCCTTGCTTCAGTATTTAATGCTTTGACTAATAAAAGTAAGTATCCCATATTCCTTTATAACCACCTTACCTACCTGGCCCATTGCCTTCAAGGATCTGTGGACATGCACAACAAGGTAGCTCTGATCCTCTAGTTCCTAGGGTCCTAACCTTCATTTTGTTCTCTCTTGACTTGTTAGCCCTCCCAAAATGCATCATCTCTCACTTTTCAGAATTAAATTCTATTTGCCATTGTTCTGTTCATCTGACCAGCCCATCTATATCACCCTTTAGTTTAAGGCTTTCCTCCTCGCTATTTACCACACCAATTTTTGTGTCATCTGTAAACTTACTAATCAAATTTACTATATTCATGTCTAAATCTTTAATGTACACCAAAAACAGTGAGGGACCCAGTACCAAACCTGGTGGTATACCCTCCAAGACCCTCTGTTTCCTACCACTAAGCCAATTTTGGATTTAATTTGCCAAATTGCCCTGGATCCCATGGGCCATTTACCAGTCTTCCATGCAAGACCCTGTCAAAAACGTTTCCATCAGACATGATCTTTCCCTGCCATATCCTTGCAACTATTTTACAATTAATTGTAGGGATACTGGTGTTGGTTACAAGTGGTAATATACTGCTCAACTGTGTTTCCTGAAGGAATGACAACAGGGTTTTGTTCTCACACTCCTACTTTCACATTCCATGTGGTGAAGTTGTTATCTTGGTATTATTGGCATGGACATTACAGACCTCCTCTCATATCATCTTAGACAGTATCATTGTTTAAAGTGGAAGGAGGGATAAACTTGTAACTGTAGGCCAGTTAGCTTAATTTTGGTTGTCAGCAAATTTATCAAAATCAATTTTGAGACATAATCTAAACCTTCATTTAGAAAGGTATTAGTCACCAAGTAAGATCAGCATTGATTTGTTTTGTGAAGGTCATGTCTAACTAACTTGCCTGAAATTTTTTTGAGGAGGTAACAATTAAAATTGATGAGGAAGGTATGGTGGATGTGCTTGACATGAATTTTCGCAAGGTCCCACATGGCTGAAAGTAAAAGCAATTGCATTCCAAGCAAGAGAGACAAATTGGCTTAGTGTTAGGAAACAAAGGGTAATGATTGCTGGATGCTTTGCAATTGGAAGAATATTTTCAGTGGAGATTCACAGAGCTCAGTACACGGATGTATGCTTCTTGTAATAATTTGGACTCAAAAGTAGGGAGTTATGATAAAGCGGTCTGCAGATGCATTGGCCGTGGGAAGAAAACTTTAGACTGCGTGATGATAGAAGTGGTCTTTTCAGTCGGACAAGAAAGTGAAAAATGCAATACAATCTGGAGAATAGTGAGATGATGCATTTTTGGAGGTGCAACAAGGCAATAAATAGGAGGAAGTATGGAGGAACATGGAGACCTTTGACTGCATGCCCCCTCGATCCTTAAAAGTAGCAAGATGGGTCAGTAAGGAAGTTAGGAAGATATATGCTCTACTTTCCCTTATTTGTCAAGGCACTGAATATGAGAACGTAGAGGTTACACCAAAATTGTGCACAACAGTGAGATGAAAGATTTAGTCACATTCTCGGACAGATGTAACTGCACTGGACAGGGTTCATAATAAGGTTAGGAAAATATTGCTAGACTGGAAATTTTAGAGATTGGAACAGAGATTTGAGGTGTACAAAGTGATGCTAGGCCTAGTTGGAGAGGGATGATCTATTTAGCTCAGCAGAGGGATCAAAACCAGGGGAAAAGTAATTGGTGGAAGGATTTGAGGGAAAATAAGAGGACTTTTTTTTAATTTGAGGTTTATGGGACGTAGAATCACTGCCTGAAAGGATGGTAGAGGCAGAAACTCTCAGCACATGGATGAATCTCATGTGAAGAGCCATGACCCTCTTCTTGAGCTGCAGATCAAGTGCAGGAATGTGGGATTAGACTGGGAGGCTTGACACAAAATTCCTATGATGCAGAAGGAGGCCACTCATCTTCAGCGATCGGCAATGGGCTAAATGGCTCCTTCTGTGTCATACATTGTGATTCTACCCAAGATGTAGGGCTCTAACTTTGAAACACATCTTGTACGTTTACTGAATTAATGACACAGACGTAGACTTACCACAGCTCGGATCGCCAGTCCCCTGGCACCTGGTGGCAACTGGTAACACCTCCGATCTCCAAAGGCTGGTTTTGATTGGGCAGCATCACTGGTAACAAAGGGCACAAAATTACGAAGAATCTGCATCAATCTAAAAGGTCATTTAGCTCAACAGATCTGTGCAAGCTTAACTGTCCACACTATACCCAAACCTAATACCTCTGTTTCCATTAACCTTCATGTATGCAATAAACATATCCATAAAATTGTGAATGCTGTTAGTTACACACGGTCCATGTGACAACAGCTTCCACGGTCGTAGTTGATTTGTGTAAAGAAATTTGTCGTGAATTCTTCAGTTGATCTCTCAATGGTGGACAAAGCCACCCTGCAATGTATAGACCCACAGTGCAGTGCACAGACTAATGCAGCCTATGACCCACACTGCAGTCCATAGATCCACACAGACCCACACTGCAGCTCATAGACGCACAAAGACCCACACTGCGACTCACATAGCTGAATTAACTCAAACTGAGATTTAAAGTGCTGTAACTCACCGGAAAGGTCCATAAAAACATGAAGCAAACTTTGCGCTGTAGCTCATCAATGCAACCTACAGGGAAACACATCAACAGTATTAAAGATCCAACACCACAGATTTCACATTTCAATGTCCCATTCCCACTGGACCCCGTCTATCCAACACAATCATTGTCGACCCCTTGTCCTGACCAATGTACTAAATTAAACACTAAAACTTAAAGCCACAGGTTCACTCCTCGCTCCTTACTGAGCTGTGTTCTTGGCTGAGGTCACACTGGACTCAGTGACACCATGCTGGGAAAGGGGGCAAATTAGCCAGAACTACCATCGCTCACCACTGAATGGTTTTGCTGGAAAGTTTGCAGTTGTGAACAATGATAAATGAGATGGGAGTTTAGCCACGATCACTGGTTGAAAGTTCAGGAATCTTATTAGTGATATAGTGAAGAGTATATATATAACCATACCTCTGTAAAATCTGTTGTGTTCAGGAGAGGAGGGGACAGTTGGGCATTGAACAAACAGCACTACACATCAACATAAATAAATCCTCACATTTGGAACTTGCACTCTACCAGAATAAAAATCTCAGAATGAGGGGCAAGCAATGACATGTATACATAGCCCAGTTGGATTTGAATTAAGAGCTTCTTTACCTTGTTTCCCAAATCATTGGCAATCAGAGCCTGTTTTATTGTTCCAACTCTGCCATCCATCATATCTGACGGAGCTACAATATGGCATCCTGAAAGCAAACCGATTGCAAATTCTTAGTCACACATAGTGAGGAACTTTCCCACATAAGGGTACACTTGAGCAGACAGTGCAATCCAGTTGTAGCTTAGCTGATTTAAAAAAAAACAGGGATTTTGAGGCTGGCTTGGGCAGAAAAAATGTGCACACAAGTAATGGATTAGATCTTCATCCAGATTCATACAATTTAGTCAAAATGTTTGAATAACTGGGCTTCTCTAGCCAATGGAGCACATGTGAAGTTTGTTTAGTACCCTCAGTGAATGACAGGAATTTGTACAATGGATTTCTGTCCATTGAGAACTAGATCGAGATGATCCAATTTCATTACACTGATGACATTCCCCTATTCTGCCTGGGGCCAATCCTTGCCTGGCTGCCAGCACTCTGTCAGCTCCTTTTCAGAATCAGGAGACCTTTGTTCCCTCCTACTGGATTCATTCCCATGTCCAAGATATTTTCTTCTTTATTCTTTCACGTGATGGGTATCACTAGCAAGGCCAGCATGTATTGCCTGTCCCTAATTGCACATGAACTGAGGGAGTTGCTAGGTTATTTCAGGGGGCAGTTAAGAGTCAACTGCATTGCTGTGGGCCAGGAGTCACATATAGGCTAGACCAGGTAAGATTTCCTTCTATTTGTGAATCAGAAGGGTTTAATGACAATTGGTTACAGTCACATTGACTGAAATCAGCTTTCAATTCCAGATTCATTAACTGAATTTAAATTCCAGTAGATGCGGTAGTAGCATTTGAACCCATGTCCACAGAACATTAGCCTGGACCTCTAGATTGCTAATCCAGTGATATTCACACCACACCAACGTCTCAAATGCCACTGTTGTAAGACCCTCGTGGTGCCCAGTTTGTCATCAGAAGGCGGAGCCTCTGTCCTTGTCTAGATCTGGGCTGGATTCTAGCGAAAGTAGGGGACATTGAAGTTTTAAATCTGTCAGTACAGAACTAGAATATTAAGCCTGCTATTGTGACTATATAAAGCCTCTCGGTAGCTTAATTCCCCTTCACTGGTTTTAGTATAAAACTCTTTCCCTTTGTTCAACTGAATTGCACAGCAAGCTCCTGGAATGACCCATAATAGGATGGCTTTCAGCAGATCTTCACATGACCAGTACCTCCTTGTATAAATACTAAGCTGATACCAATTTCAGACTCACTGCAAAAGGTCAACAGGGTCTTCAATTTCACCATTTATTTCTCACTGCTTCTGTATCAAGAGACCAGTGAGTCTCACATCAGTGGTTGGGAAGCTATTGAGGAGGATTCTTAGGGATAGGTTTTACGCACATTTGGAAAAGCATGGCCTAATTAACGACAGTCATCATGGCTTTGTGCAGGGCAGGTCCTGTCTTAGTAACTTGATTGATTTTTTTTAAGATGGTGACGAAGGCGATTGATGAGGGTAGAGCTTATTAAGGGAGCTATTTAAAGAGGAAAAGCTAAATAGGACAGGCCTGCATCCATTGGGGTTTAGAAAATGAGATGCGAGCCCATTGAAATATAATAAATCTATAATATGGTGGATACCAGGAAGGTGGCTTATTTTAGGGAAAGATGAGAACTAGGGGAACAGTTTAAGAATAAGAGGTCTTCTTTTTAAGTTGGAGATGAAGAGAACATATTTCTCCCAGAGGGTCATTACACTGTGGAATTCTCATCCCCAGACAGCAGTGGAAGCTCAGTCATTGAATTTGTTTTTATAGATTTTTGGCAGAAAACTGAATCAAGGGATATGGGAGATAGACTGAAAAATGGAGCTGAGATTAGCCATGATCTTCCAGAATGGTGCAGCAATATTGATGGGCTAAATAGCCTACTCCTACACCCAAGCCCCATGTATCCGTGAACATGTTAACATTTGAGAGATACAGGAGGGATTTCCTGATTGTCCTGCCACTCTGTGTTTTGCCATGTTATAAAAATACCGATTTTGGAGAGTTTATTGCTGTCAGTTTCTGCACGCACCTGCCTTGGCATAGGCCAGTGCCACCTCTGCCAGCCTCTGGCAGCTTGCTTCATTATTCAATGTCTCATCCTTCCGGAGTATTCCTAGAATAAACAAACCAAACATATTACCACTGAGTATGGTGCCTATTACCTGCTGTTACCTCCTGGTATAGAGTGTGTTACCTGCTTATTATCCCTAGTTATGGTGCCCATTACCTGCTCCTACCCCAAACTTTGGTCTGTTATCTGCCCATTATCCCGTAGTGTGGAGTCCATTACCTGTCTCTATCCCTGGTGCTCATTAAGGACCTGGAATATGGCTTCACCATTCAGGCTAAAGCAATCGAGACAGGATCAAGGATCCAAAGATACCCTATCTGGCAAATCTGACAAATTTAATTCATTGGTGGTTGGAAAGTGCAGGAGTGCTCCCAGCCTCACGTGGAGGCTTTGGGCCTACCTTGCCCTGGGCTTTCCCCCTCCCCTGATTGAGGCCAGAGCTACCTCCCTCCCCCAGCTACAGTATACCTCCAGCTGCCTGCTGTGGCATCTTGCCACCAAACTTGCCGTTCCATGTGTTTGTAGCTCAGGTCTGATTTGAAAAGGACTCTGATAGAGGTTACAGCAGTGAACACTGATCATTAAGATGGGTTAACTATTCATGTTTCCCAGCCTCCTCAATTGTGCTAGTTACTCTGAGAATCAAACTCACTGCACCCACCCTTGGCCAAACCCACCCCACTCCCCTGTACAGCTGCAGCCACTGTCTCACACAATTACACTTTCAAAATCTACCAACTAGGAAGAAAAGGGCAGGAGACAAAGGGTTATTGGAATTGTATTGCTGTTCCTTCACTATGGCTGGGTCAAAATCCTAGAACCCCCTACCAGCACAGGGTCAGCATAGCACCAACTTCTATAATGATAATTAGGGATGGGTAGAAAATGCAGCCTAGCCAGCAATGCCATATCCCATGAAAAAACAAACTATCTTGGCTCGACCCAGACATGCAGTATCCCTCACTGATCATCTGACCTAAGATAACTCTTTGCATCTGAAATATCCCATTCTGTAACAGTGAGCTCAGAGGTCACAGTGGCTTGCAACTGGTGGGGGGTCAGCGTAGAAGAAGGTTTTAACCCCCAGTGTTTGCTTACCACAGTGCCCGTGGGAAGTGTACGGACAGAGGCAGACGTCACAGGCAATTACCAATGTTGGGAACATCTTCCGCAGCTTTTTAATGGCCAGGATGACTGGTGTATCCTCCAAGTCAGCTCCAGATCCCCTCTCATCCTGGCAGGGAGAACATAACTTCATGAGATAACTACCAGCAAATCACTAACCTCAATCCATTACCCAGTGGGAGTCTACTCAATCCCCACAAAAACATTTCTGAAAGAAAGGATCATCTCAAATTCTATCTCACGTATGCACAGACACACAGAGTAAACGTTCCTCTACACTGTCCCCATCAAACACCCCCAGGACAGGACTAGCACAGAGTTAGATACAAAAATAAACCTCCTTCTACATTTCCCCCATCAAACACCTCCAGGAGAGGTACAGCACAGGGTTAGATACGGAAAGGGGGCTGATTAGCTGAGTTGTCTGGATAGCTGGTTTGTGATGCAGAATGATGCCAACAGCGTGGGTTCATTCCCACTCTGGCTGAAGGATTCTCCTTCTCAACCTCTCCCGTTGTCTGAGGTGCAGTGACCCTCAGGTTAAACCATCACCAGTCATCTCTCTCTAATGAGAGAGCGGCACTTTGGTCTGGTAAGACTATGGCAACTTTACCTTTACCTTAGATTCAGGGCAAAGCTGCCTTGACACTATCCCCATCAAACACTCACAGCACAGGGTTAACTATACAATAAAGCTCCCTCTGCTCTTCTAAACAAAATAAAGCTTTCTCTTCACTATCCTCATCAACACTCAAATGACAGGTACAAAACAGGGTAAGATGCAGGGAAAAGCTTCTTCTATTATGTAAGCTGAGAGTAAAGTTCCATTTATTCTCTTAACCTGAAAGTCATGCTACTTTTACACTGTTCCCATCCAGGACAGGTACTTTACAGGGATGAGATAAAGAGTACAAGTTCCTCCACTCTTTTAAACAGAAAGTAAACTGAAAGTAAAGTTCCCTCGATATTGTCCCTATTAAATACTCAGGACAGGTGCAGCATGGGGTTAGATATGGAGTAAAGCTGCCTCTACTCTAAACTGAAAGAAAACTGTAAGGAAAGCCCCCTCAAACAGATTAGATTTAGCATAAAGCTCTTTCTACTCTTTTAAAACCAGAAGTAAACAGAAAGTAAAGTTACCTCAATACTGTCCCTATCAAACACTCCCAGGACAAGTACAGCATGGGGTTAGATACAGAGTAAAGCTCCATCTTATCTATTCAACCAAAAAAACTCTTTCGACTCTTTTAAACTGAAAGTTCTTTTGACTCCATCCCCATCAAACACTCCCAGGACACGGACAGCATGGGATTAGATAATAGACTAAAGCTCTCTCTAACCTTAAACTGAAAGAAGACTGTAAGGAAAGCCTCCTCTACACTGTTCCCATAAAAATTCCCTGGACAGGTAAAACACGAGGTTAGATACAGTGTAAAGATTCCTCTACTCTTTTAAACGGAAAGTAAAGTCCCCTCTACACTGTCCCCACAAACACTCCCTGGACATGTGCAGCATGGGTTAGATACAGAGTAGAGCTCTCTCCACAGTGTCACTATCAAACACTCCTAGGACAGGTACTGCACGAGGTTAGATACAGACTAAAGCTCCCTTTAAAATGCTGCACATGAGATCTCACTTTGCATCAACTGCCTGCCATATTACAAACATTTCAAAGACATTGTTGACTGGTTTGGAGGGAAATCCTAAGGTTGGAAAGGTGTGATAGAAATCAAAGTGTGACTTTTTTTTAATTCATTAATGGGATGAGGCCGTCACTGGCTAGGCAGCATTTATTGCCCATCCCTAATTGCCCAGACGGTAGTTCAGAATTAACCACATTGCTGTGGATCTGAATTCACATGTAGGCCAGTCCAGGTAAGGATGGCAGTTTCCTCTCTAAAGAGCATTAGTGAACCAGATGGGTTTTTCCCGACAATTGACAACAGATTCATCATTCCTTCGAGATATTTTATCGAATTCAAATTCCACCATCTGCTGTGGCAGGATTCGAACCTTGATCCCCAGAATGTTACCTTGGTTTCTGGGTTAACAGTCCAGCAATTATACCGCTAGGCCGCCGCCTCCCCAATAATCTGTCCCCCAGTGCAAGCTCAGATTTAGTACGATGGTTATTCTGAGTCCTACCTTAGCGAGTTTAGTTGGAACTCCAAAGATCAACACACAACCAAGGCCATCGTTCAGCAGGGGCCTCAGCTTCTCTTCCAGTTTGTTGACACCATATCTGGGAAATGACCATACGATGAGGCCTAGACAAATACATTCTGATTACACCTAGCCTGACCCTAGCACACATCAGCTCTGTTTAAACAAACTGAGAAATGAACTGCTCCGCCATCGTACAAATGTGAAGGAATTTAAAGTGATTAATATTAGACAGGAGGTTTATAAAAGAGGTGCCTGCAGAGATACTGAATCAAGGAGGAGTCAGGTTGCAATTGGGAATCACGTCGCAGGATGGGTGTCCTGTAGCCACAGCGGATCCAATGTGAGCCAGAGCAAAACTGGCGGTGACAGTGGGGCTGATGAGGGTGTAGTTGGCGGTGAGAGTGGGGCCAGTGGGCGGTGAGAGCGGGGCCAGTGAAGGGGCAGTGGGCGGTGAG